TGGTAACATATTTATTTATCACTTTTGAGTATTTTTTTTATCTTTAACTAATGAAATATTTACGTAATTTATTTCATTTCATTTTTGCAGGTTTTGTGAATGCTTAAAGAAGAGAGTCATTATCTATTATGGATCAATATTTGTCTTTTTTTATTAGCAAGACTTGATATCATTATCTACTATAGACATAAATTTATCATTTAATTTTAGCAAAACTTAATTTTTTCATTTATGTTATTATGGTGTTGATCAAAACTTGTGCACTTGGTCTTTGCAATTTTAAGTTATAATAACCATGTTTCATTTATGAACATTTTAATTTATTACTGTATGTTTTAGTTTCTTTCAAGTGCTAAGTTTATATTTTTCTATGATTACTTATATATTATTTTAGCGTGAGAATGTTGGATCTATCAATATTGTAGCAAAGGGTAAAAATGGAATAAAAAAATTATAATGCTTTCCGCTCCGTCCAATTCCCAAACAGTGGAATGGGATATTAGTTCCGCTCCGTTGTAAAATATCCAAACAGTGGAATGTAGTTTATATTCCGTTCCGTTCCATTCCACTCCATCCTATTCCGTTTCGTTCTGCTCCGTTCCGTTATTTTTAAATTATCCAAACATAGCTTAAGAGAAATTTTAAATGAGGGTTTTACACAATAATAACTAAATAAATTTACATTCATTAATTTACTTAATTAGACAATTAAAACTTTATAACATAGTTTGTGGGTTGTTAATGTATTTAAGATTAATATTTAGAGTTATAATAATAAATATATTTTTTTAGTCATTTAAATTTACATCCATTTTAACTTTAGCAGTTACATATTTGATTATAACAATATTTTTAATTTATATTTATTTTTAAATTGAGTGTTTATTGTCACGTGCTAATATTCACAATGACACTTTATATACAAATTTGTCATCGTGTTTCTAATTTACATCCGTTTTTCGCATAACAGGTGTAAATTTTAAAATTATATTCATCACTATGCACTAGTGATATCATATTATTCTTGTATATGTTTAAAATATTTTGTGATTGCAAATTGATGTTATACGCAAGTTGTGAGATGTTAACCAATGATATATGTATCTATGTGAAATGTGAACTGATGTTATATGTTTATTGTGAAATGTCAAATGATGTTATGCATATGTTGGAAAATGCCAACTAATGTTACCTGGGTATGATGGAGGATCATGTGATGCCATAATTATAATGTGAAATGTTAAGTGACCTTATATGGTGTTGCGAGAATTTTCTATTCCATATTTATTCTACTTTTGATATATTATATCACATAATTTGTAGAATGTATCTCACCCCTTTTGTTTCAATGTTTCTCTATGTGAACCCCTGTGCAGCGTATTCTTAGGTTGAGAGTGATGAGTGGTCGTTGTGTCTAGTTTATGGAAGATGGTCTAAAAAGCCAATTTGATTTCTGATCTGACCTGATCAGAAGGGGATCATGGGCTGGCCACACTCTGTTGGACTGCTACCTGTTCACCGGTGATGAGGAGGAGAGAAGGGGGTGTACCTGCAAGGCACTCTGATGCCAAAGTAAGAATTTGGGCAGCGTGAGAGCAAAGTACAGAAAGTGGGTAAGAAGTGAATTACCTGACCCTCTTGTGAAAGAGGGTATTTATAGAGAGACCCCAGCGCTGGGCCAACGGTCACTTGAGATGGGCTGGATGACCAGGCCTAACCCTAATGACTGCTAGGGCTTACGTGGCGTAGTGAAGATCAGAACGTGGTCTTCACCCTAGTTCAACTGCTTCGTGCACTCCGGAAAGTGGGTTGACCTGCTCTTTCGGAGGTAGGTAATTGGTGGATGACGTGTCCCCGCGGAGGGGGGCACGTGGAGGACGTGCGGCTGACACGTTGTTCTCCCCGCGGAGGGGAGCTTGTGGGACTCTCTGAGAGCATGTTGTTCTCCCCGCGGAGGGGAGCTCGGGGGATTCCCTGGCGGTGTGTGGCCCTCCCCGAGGGGGGAGCGCACGAGAGCGGGGAGGACAAATCGTCATGCCCGTTGGCAGGGGGATTCTGCCCGTGGAGGCTGTTCTGTCCGGCTAGGGGGAGCGCCGAGGACGCTTAGAAGCGCGTCGTCCTGCTTGACAGGGAGCGTATCCTGCCCGCCCGGTGTGGGGTGTGTGCCCGGTCAAGCTACTCCCCTTATTGGGCCTCGTGCGTTATTGGGCTGGTCCCAGGCCAGAACAATTTCCTTTCTTTAAGATTATGTTTGATGGACCTTAAGTCAACTAGTTAGGTTGAATTTGAATTAGAGCTCTGACATTGTGACATTGGGTTGAGATAATTTCCTCAGATATTTTCGATGCATCTATTAAGTTGGAACTAAAAAAATCTTATGCTACTGTTATGTTTGGAATTCAATTACTATTTTGAAATAAAAATTTAAGCGTCTATGTTGATGTGACACCCTGGTTATATATATTAAAATGACATATATATATATATATTAAAATGTTATGTATATTAAATATAAAGGAAATTAATTGTGGGTTTAGGGTGTTACAAAAGAAACCTTGATGTAAATCAAATCTATTGATGATTCAATTATGTCTAAATGAAATATTTTAAAAATCACCTATGATTGTGTGATTCGAATCATGTAATTTCTTAATTCAAATAATGATCTATGTCAAACAAGCCAAACTCAGAATTCATAACATTGATTTAAGTCAATCTTTCATATGACTCAAATCATTATTGTAGGATCTGACTCAAATTAACTTTTTAATTTTCACCTATTTTGTGTCTTACCTCTAGCACATATAAATTCTTTTTTCATTGCTCTCCAAAACCTACCAGTAATTCATTTTGTTGATTTTTGTAAATCCATAATTCTCTCAAACCTTGAAAAAAATCAAATGTGTTATTTCTTTCACAAACACCTTTTCTCTCAAGTCAAACATATAGAAAAATTTCATAGAATGTTGATTTCATGAGTTTTGTTTAGGAGTTATGTGAGACTCTTCTAATAACCAACCATCTTTAAGCTTGAGCTAAAAACCTCAATGTTGCGATACTCAACTCTAAAGATTAAGTCTGAGTGGTAGTTGCAAGATAATTAGGAATATAAAGTTTTTTGTGAAGCTATTTGTATGTATCATATTGAAGAATCAGTTTTGGTAGGGTAGAGTGAAGAATGGTCTGAATGAAGTGTCAGAGTTTCTAAGAATCTTAAGTAGATCAAAGGCTCAAATAAGGAAATTCTGACAGGGTTGAGTGAAGACTGTTGCAGACAAAATCTTAGAGCATAACTTTGGTTTTTGAAAGGTCACTAGCTCAAGATATTTATTCAAGATTGTTTGATTCGGATCATTGTTTATTGTTTAGAATCAATTTTAAGTTATAAGTGCTTAAAATATTGTTCAAAATCAATTATAATTTTGAGTGAAAAATTTTAAGATTTGGCAGTTTTTAGTGTTCTGCTTACCACATAAGGGAAATATAGATTTAGACTTGTGTTTGCTTAGCATTTTAACTTGAAGTATTCAATGTTGTCTTGTTTTCTGTTTTGTAATAAAAAAACGCTTGTATTAATTTGTAAAAATAGTGGAAGATTCCAATGAATTTTTAATGGTTTGTCATTGAATATTGGACAAAGTGCTAGCAAGAACAAATACACTAAACCAGCGTAAATCTGATGTACAATTTCTCTTTCCTTATCTCTTTTAAATTCTAATATAGATTTGTATGGTCTTAAGTTTTATCACTTTTCTAGAATCACGTGTGCCTATGTTTTATCTCGTTATAACGATTTTTGTGTAAGCGTGAATTTGTGATAGATTTAGTCATTCAATTTTTTTTTTTAGGATTATAACTCTATAAACCGATAATGTTAGATTTCCTTCTCGTATAATAAGATTCAATCTAGATATCACATGTGAATTGAATTCAGCTAATTAACGCTTTGATTATTTTGCATCCTCATCTTCCATCTTTATTGTTTTTAAGATATTTTAAGTAAAGCGTAAAATCAATCTAATAGCATCTTGTATAAAATTTCGCTACCATTTTTTTTTTCTTGTAAAACTCTGGTTTTGAACAAAACATTAAGAAATTGGTTTTAAAGAAGAAATGCCTATTTAACCCTCTGAGCATTCAACACCTATATTCTTCCCATACACTTGCGCTTTCACCATCACCAACCACCATTGTAACCAACTATCACCACTCTAACAAACATCTACTTACAATATCACTTTTAATCCATATTATATATTTGTAATGTTCTAATTATTTTATAAATTTTGTAGTATAAATTTTTTTGAATTAAAATATGTTTATGATAAATATTTATTCATATATTTATATTTAATATTGATTATTTTTCTTTAAATTTTTTTAACTTAAAATAAATATTAATTTTTTAAATAAATATTTTAAAACAGTTTTAATTTTTGAAAATTCTAAAATATAAATCAGAAAACCACCCAAAACCAGGGGCTAATTTTTTTATATTTTATCCTATTTATTTTCACTTATTTTTCTTATTCTTTTTCAAACAAATTAATGTTAACAAATGGAAGAAAAGGGTACACATCCAAAAATTCTACCCTTATTGGTTGATTGTGCTTTAAAGGGAACCCAACCAGCTTTATTTCTTCCACGTAAAGCAGAATTTTGAATTAATTTTTGAAAATTAATCGTTTCTCCTCGTTATCATTCATGCAAATCCAAATCTAGACTAAACCCGTTAGGGCAATTTGTTGTCTAAATTTGTAGGAACCATCTGAAACATCTCTTACTGTCACATTTTCACTAAGTACATTATGTTGTGTCCTATTCCTTACATAGTGTCACAGGTCCCATTTCACCATGTCCAAATCACATTGCTACTATATAAATCATAGCACCAAAAAATAATTATATTTTGTAATAATTAATTAAACTCTTTGTTTTCATTCTTCACAGTCTCGTTGATAAAATTGTTGTGTTTTTTTTTTTATTTGACTTTTTTAGATATGTCAAAAAATGTTGTTGAGGTTCCTATTTCTGCAGAAGAGTTGAAGATACGAAGTGAGCTTGCCAAGAAAATTGAAAAGGATTTGGAAGAGGAGATTAAAGAAGGAATATACAATCTTGCTCGTCGATTGAACCAGATTTTTCAGCAAAGGAAGGAAAGAGAAGCCAAAGAAGCCGCGTTTGATAAGGTAAACAACAAAACTAGAGCACTTTCTAAGGTGATTATAAACATAGGAATTGAAGGAGGAACTAAGATTGAAATCAAGGAGGTTAACAAAGAAGCGAAAGAAAGGCGTTGTGATTATCGATCGAAAAAATGTTTGAAAGAAGTGAAGGAAATTGATTGGGAGAGGAGTTTGAGGAGAGGTCCAAGTCCTGTTTATGTGAAAGAATCATGTGTTAGATCAAAGCAAAAGGATAGAAATGTGATGAGGGGAAAGAATGGAAGTGAAGATAAGAAGGTTTTTCACTTCGGGTGGAAAGTTTGAAGTTCAATTTATTGGGTTTGTTTTCTTTTTGTTTTGTTGCTTTGGTTTGCATGAAAGAATAATATAGTATAGTTTGGGATGCATTTTTCATATCGCAAAAGATGCATGCAACGAGTGGATTGAAGGTTTGAAAGTTGTTTTGATGAAACAGTATCAATTTAGTGTGAGATAATGATATTTAAATTTTGATAAATTGAAGTATTGGGTTAATTAACATGTTGAACTACAACAATTTGTCAATTCAATTTTATTTATTTATTTGTAGTAAATAATCTGCATTCACGAAATGAAACAAACTAGATTAATGAAACAAATTGAATTTGAGAAGCCACGTTAACAGTGGTAAATCCCCTTACTAGCGACAACTTTTGAATAGCGGAAAAGTTTTTGCATGAAGTCCTTTGTTTTCGCCACTTTCACGCTGTTGTCACTGATCGAGCCACTGGATAGAGGTGCATCTGAACCTCCTAGCCTGTCGTTTTGGGATATTTTCATTAAAGACCAAGGAGTCAGTAATGTGAAAAAGAGAGTAAACCTGATTAGAAAGGGACTTATGCCTCTTGAAGGAGGAAACCGATTGCTACCAAAGGTCATGATGAATGAGAAACATTTTTAAGAACTGTGAAATTCTTTGAAGGGGGTGTTAGTAATCAAACTCATTGGGAAGAATGTGGATTATTTGAGGAACGATAGGTTGAAGAAGATGTGGAAACTTATCGGAGATTTTAAGATCATGGACGTTGACAATGGTTTCTTTATGGTCAAGTGTGAATTGCTCTTTGATAGGGAGAAATTGTGTCAGAAGGCTCGTGGATATTGTTAGACCATTATTTGGTAGTGGCTCGATGGACTCCAAACTTTGCATCTTCTCTCACATAGGTGGAGAAGCGTATAATTTGAATTCGATTTCCAGGGCTTAACTTATTGTATTATGAAAAATGTCCTTCTTGATTTGACATATATTGTGGGTACTCCTGTTAAGAAAATACTAACACCCTGAATGTAGAAATTAGAAGTTTTGTGAGAATTTATGTGGATATTAATCTGACCATATCAGTTGTCAAAAAAGTCAATGTTATGGTCACTCGTACAACGTGTAGTATGAAGGTCTTCATATTATTTGCTTTAATTGTTGTTGTGATGGACATCACACCCGTGATTGAAAGAAAACACCAGATAATCTAAAGCAATCGATCATTCATACAGTGGCGTAACCAAGAGGTCTGCTGGAAAACGATGTTGCCCATGAGCAAAGACTAACAGAACTACATCAAGAAGTGCACGAAGATAGCACCAAAGTTATAGCAAAAGAATCTAGAAAAAATAAATGCATTTCATGGTGATTTGCTAGTTGTGCTAAGGAAAAAATGCAACAAAAGAGCCAGTTATGGTCAATGGAAATCTTTATCTAATAATGCGCCTAAAGATCCGGGGAGTTCTAAAATTAAGGGGACTGATGTTTCTTTAAAAGGAAAAAGCACTGACAGCAAAACTGGTAGACCTAATCAACTTGACGCAGTTTCTAAGAAACAAAGATTTGATAAGAGTGGTGCCACACGAGACGCGCATCAACTCGCAGGTAGAGGGGACCCGTGTGCTAATGTCAAGCCTTCTATTTTGGAACCACGTCTGGCTATTAGTGGGCCTTTGCACAAAATTAGGACAACTTTTAGTTCTTGCCCAACACAAAAGGATATGTTTGGCACTGTTAAATACACCTACATTATTCCCATACTAAATTTAGATTTGGAGAAGATCACACAAAACAAAATTCTATTGTTTGAACGGACAACAAGTCAGGTAGATGAAAATAACCAATACTCTATGGATGAGGGTGCTACTCAAAAAGAGGAAGTAGTTCGTGAAACTCAAATTAAAATGGGAGTCGACTACGTAAATTATCTCGTGTCCATGATTTGCTTTGTCACCTTCATCAACATGACTAGTTATGTTAGATTTCAAATAAGTCACCTTGCCCTCTTGAAATATCTAGGGTGCCTCTAATAATAAGGCTAAAAGACACATGATGGAATTGATTAGAAAACACTCTCTGACATTTTTAATCATTATGGAAACACACATTGGTTTTCATAAGATCAAATCATTTTGAAATATAGTTGGATATGTGAGTGTACATTATGTGGATGCATGTTCTAAATTCGAAGGCGTTTGAGTGTTAAAGCAAAATGGTAGTAACATTGTAATTATCGTGCATGATGTCTTTATGGATACAATTACTATCAAGTTATCAGTGGGAACATCCTCTTGATATGTAACAAAAATTTATGTCAGTACTATTTATACTTCTCGTCTTGATATGTGGCTCTACCTCATTGATCGAAGGAACATTGTTGATGGCCTTAGATGTTGATTGCAGACTTTAGCAATATAATTCGTCTTAGTGCCCAAAAAGGAGGTAATTTAAATCATTCTAGAGGAGTTGATTTGTTGAATGTCATTGATAAATGTAATTCAGTTAAAGTAGACATGACTGAAGAGAAATTCACTTGGAATATGCCTTGTACTGGTAATCAAATGGTCTATTGCAAGCTAGATAAGGCCTCAGTTGAAATTGCTTGGTGCATGGCTTTCCCTAATGCATGTGTTGGTGTATTGTGTAATTTCATTTTGATCACAACCTCATTATCTTTACGTGTGGCCTTCCCCTCCAATACCATTGGACGTATACTTTTAGGTTTGAGGCATCTTGGACCACTCGCCCAAGAATACTCCTACATAGTCCAGACTGCTTAGGGGAAATCCCTAGATGGCATTATAATTTATCTCCAAAATGTGCAAACAATTATGTCCTTTTTAATAATTAAACGTTTGGCAATATCATCAAATAGAAGCACAACATAGAGAAGATACTCATATGTATCCAACTCTCTTTAGAGAGAAGAGATTTGGATAGACTAGTTTATCTCCAATATGAGTATTATGAGGTCCTTACACAAGAGGGTATTCATTAGTATCAAAAGGATAAAGGTGATTGGATAAAATTGGTAGATCATAAAACCAAATTTTTTCATACCAAGACGAATAGAAATAAATTCCATGGTTTTCATCTTCCCAATGGTGTTTGGTGCAACGATGACACTATTCTCAAGGAAGAATCACTAGACTTTTTAAAGGTCTTTTCTACACTACATCTCTTATGCTTTCTTATAATATGGCTGACTCAACTATGACTCTGATCCTAACAAAAGAATCCCAACATTTTATGGCTCAACAGGTGACGAGGGGAAATGTTACTTGTGTGTTGAATTAAATGCACTCTTTCAAGGCGCCTAGCCTTGATGGATTTTAGGGTATTTTCTTTAAACATTTTTGAAATATAGTTGGATATCATGTTGTCCAAATTATATTATATGATTTTGTGACAAGTAGCTTTCGTTCCTCTCTTTATGAGACTCTTATCGCATTAATTTCTAAGGTAGACTGCTCCCAAAAGTTTAAGAAATTCAGGCCCATTAGCTTGTGTAACACTACTTACAAGCTTATTACAAAGATTAAGTTGACTTGGAACATGTATTGAACAAATTTGGTTGTGTAACACGCTAAGTTTCTTTCTATGTTTTTGGTCCTATTTATGTTTATATCCCTTGTATTAACATCATTTTATGTGAATGGTTATTGATGTTTATCTGTTTCAAAGTGTATTATTATGTTTATATGAATATGTTTTGATTTCGATTGACCTCGTGCTTCGCTCTTTTTGATGTTGTCAAAGGGGGAGAATGAAAAAGCAATGCTTCACAAAGATAGATCATATTTTTTTCTCTCACAAAGTAATGCATAAAATCAGGGGGAGGGTACGTCTCAAAGTACTCGATAAGTTGAAGATTTTGTAACGGTTTTGCCATCATCAAAAAGGGGGAGTATGTGAGGGCAAGGTTCCTTAGTCCTTATTTTAATGATATCAAAACGTGTATTAGCTCGTACTTGTACTTTGAACGATATCATCGCGTCTTAGATTGCATTAAGTCTTTAATATGCACAAAACATTCCATGTTCATGTGTCTATGCATATAGGAGTATCTCATATATGATATTTGTGCATTTGATTATCGTAGATACCTTAGGTCAACATAAAAATGGTTTAATTTGACCAAAATACTCACAAAGAACTTGCTTTTGGAAGTATAGAGACCTTGCATCGACTCACTGTCCTGTGGACGTCGATGCATGCTTGTTGATCAAAATATCAATTGCTCTCGGGTCTGCTCACGTCGACACATATTGATAGTATAAAAATTTGCTGCTTTGAGTAACCTTGCACCGACGCATCGCTTGTTTTGTGTACTTTTGCATTCAGGTGTGCTCAGGTCCACCGCCTAATTCTTAGGTCGACCGATCGCTGTTTTGAGTCAACTATTCTGGTGTGTTGTGTTTCAAAATGTTGTTATGTTAGTTATTGGATCTTGCCATCATATATATTCATTTTGTCTCATCATTACATGAGAGAACAAGAAAATTGAAAGATATATACTAATTTTTCTCATCATCTTCATTCCCACACTTGCATTCTTCAACAATTACACATAACAATTTTTGTTGATCTTGTGCGTTGTCGAGGTGATAACGTCCAAACGTAGGAGTTTTGTGTCTAGTTTGGGTTGAGTTTTTAGTGGGTTTTTCTTGAATAAAACTTTGAGGTTTTATCCTTCAAGATCTAGAGGATTTGAGGGTTTTTGCACAGATATTTGCCTCACAGATTCAGTCGAGCAAAAGGTTTGAAGAATAATGGGTTCATTCAAACAAGTAGTGGTAACCAGAGGATTGTGACGAAAGATTTGGGGTTGAACGTCTTGCGATCGAAATCAGCCGAGCGAAAGGTTTGAAGAACGGTGGGTTCGTTCAAACAAGTAGCGGTAGACAGAGGTTTGTTCGAAGCGTTTGATGCACTTGATTTGAAGCGGAATGCACCCGAGATTCAATATGTAATCATCAAGTTGTTGCTTAAGCCAAAGAATTTGTGCACATCAACTCCCCGCCGC